GTCGTAAGACTGTCTGTACGCTTAACAAAGTTGGCTAGCCACTTCTACCCAACCTGGCCAGCGCCGCGCGCAGCCAGCAGCTTATCAGCCATATCGCGCACAGCAGCATACGTGGGCGCAAATCCACGTAGATCTAGATCAAGTATATGATCAACTATCACCTCCTCTTCTAGCTTAGTGAGCTTCTTTGAGTTAGGCTGGCAATCGCGTCGAGCAGGTATACCAGCGCGTCGGCGGCGGATTGTTCGTTTAGACACGTTGTAGACAGCAGCAGCGCGACAATTACTTTGTGTTTGATAGAGATTAATAGAAGAAATAGCAAGCTGAATATCTGCTTCATTTAAAGCTAATTGAGTAGCGCTACGTTGAGCCATTGTTCGTTGAGATAGGAGAGGTGCGCAGGTTTGGTGGGGTGCGGCGCTCGCTTGCCTGCGGCGCTCGCTTGCCACATACGTTATATATATACCTGCATCTGGATATCTACCTGGATGCGAGTGCGGAACTACTACTACTACTACTACTACTAAGCATGTGGGGGAAAGTGGGATTGAGTATACTGGAGGTAGACGCGGTAGATACTCTTGCGATACTGGACGTTGTAAAACAAGAACGGGTATGCTGCTTTTTTCTGGCTACACATGCATGCGCTTTTTTTTTAGTGTGTTCGAAAGTGTAGATGTGTAGGTGGATGGGGGGCCTGTCATTGGTTCAGAGATCAAATGCTGGCTTGTTTTTTTCTGTTTTATTCGGGGGATTGATTGGATGCTGGTTCTATTAATTGCTTTTTTTATCAGGGGGGGGGGGATATAGGCGGAGATTTGGTGGAATGGCAGAGAGTATTGGGATTGGACGGAGAAATTGGATAGAGCATGCATGCATGATTTCATTATCTTTGAGGGGGGGTATATATATATGAATAGGCTACTTTTTTTTTCTCGTTGTTGATGGAGTGTCTGATTAATCGCGTGAGAGCATTAAGCGTATGTATGATGACAAAGATGGGGACCAATTATTCGTACACCTAGATGCACGATGAATACCAGATTCCCCCCTACTTCATTTTTAGGCATGCCTGTCATGCCGCCGTGTATTACAACATGACCAGACCAGCAGCTCCAGCCAGCATAAGAGCACCTTGGCCGCAGCTTCTCAGCGCAGCTCCGCCCGTGAACTGAGGCAGCGCCGAACTAACGCTGCTGGGGTTTGGCGTCAGGGTTCGGGAAGAGTAGCCGCCTGTGGGGAATACATTGGGCAACGTAGGCTTATTTGAAGCCCCAGTACTGGGATATGGCGCCTCGGTCGTCTCAGGCTCCGCAGTCTCTGTCGGAGAGATGTCTTCAGAGGTGAAGGAAGGTGGTTCCTCAGTGTAGCTCTCTGCGTCACTCGCACTCGGTATCTCAGGTGACTCAGTTGGAGACGGGACGGCTGGCGTCGCTGAATCCGGGATCAATGTTCCGTCAACCCCGTATTCACGCGCGCACTGCTCTGCGCTGACGTTCTCCACACAGCAATAGGGGATTCCTGCGGCATCGCGCGTGCAGTAATAGCCGGGATCACAGACTTCTATTACAGTGAAAAAAACATTCAATTAGCATTTTTCTTTTTCGAAAGCATGTTGATGGTCGCCAAATAGAACTTACTTCCCGTGCCACTGCAGCACTGAGCGCCAGTCGAAGGCTCAAAACAGAGACCTCTGCCCTCGGTGGAGCTACATTCGTTGTAGGTTGCTCCGCAGACTTCCTCACAGGTAGTACCGGTGCCGCTGCATGGCGTGCCGCTGCCATCGGGGTAGTAACCCTGGCGTTTGGAGAGGGCCTCGCCCCGACGCAGCATGGCGCTGAAAGACTGGTGGCTGATGAGGCCCTGGGTAGCTAGCACGGAGGTACTGAGGGCCGCGAGGGTAACGACTGAGAAGTGCATTGTGTGTATGTTTTGATAGGAGAGTTGAGAAAGAAAGAAACGATTGAGATAGGGGGCCAGTGAAGTTTGGCAGGTCAAGACATGGCTATATAGCGTTTCTCTATTCCGCTCTCGACATGCAGAACCTCAGCCTTGCCTCTTCAGCTTTCAGCCTGGTGCTATTCCGCTGGATCTATTCTTTGATCTAGACAAGCCCTCGTTGTCGAGACTTGGTTAGAGTGCAACCAATCCACGGCTGTGGTGGGCACTGCCAAGCCGTATCGTTCACTCTGCTAGCATCTCACTGGCAGACGTGTATGAGCATATGTCAGGGCCCAAGGCAGCTTTTTGCCCCGTACATCGCTTTCGATTCCCCTTGCAGCAAAATCCCGCATCCAATCTGCCTTGTTGACCGACGCCTCTTGGTGCTGTCCGATACGCCCGCGGACGCTGTGTGGGTGCTGTTCCTGCATGAGCGGGTGGGAAAAGTCGGCTGTTGTTTGGACAGCTGAAAAGATCGTGCCACGCCAAGTCATATGGGGGTCACATGTCTGAGAGACTATTGGAACAACTTGGCCCCCGCGAATATGGGGTAGGGCTGATGTGTAAATAAAGGATTGCTTTGTGGCCGTCAGGGTAAGGATTGCACGGACCGACACCGGCGAAAATATATTATACATGTTCGAGGAAGATTACATCTGTCCAATGTGGGCTTGATTTTTCCAGCAGATTGAGCATCCCGCATGTCTTCTTGTCCAGCGGTTCTGACCGCTGCTGTGACGATGAAACATTGAGCGCTGCTTGTTCAGGCCCCCAAAAGCCACATTTCACCGCGAGATTGGGCGCTAGGCCGCATGCGTACTAGTGCCTGGGGCATTAGCGGCCAAAGCTGAGGGCTGCGCGTGCCCAGCAACGTCCATCTTGTCAAAGCCACGATGCAAACCCCGCCGCGGCGATTGGGAATCTCCAACAGACAGGCACTGCTCTAGCCTCAGTTAATACATGCCTTTGCCAAAGTCGCTTCGCGGTCCTGTGCGCCCGGCCACGTCAACGCGCCAGACGCTGCGGAAAAAGTGCCGCGCCTGCAATCACCTCGACCCGAGGGGCCACACGAGCTCCGTGTACGATGATGAATCGGCCAAAGAGCCTCGCGCCAGTCTGAGCTTGGTCGTGGATGCGTTGAGCCTGTCTCGTGTCAAGGAGAGTGCATGTAGGTTTTGCAATGTGCTGGTCCTCGTACTAGATGCCTTCTTCAGTGGATGGAGAGGCGCACGAATCAAGGTGCACGTCGATATCAAAGAGAAGGGCACGATTAAGATTACGCTGGGCGGTGAGCGCTGGAAGAATGAGATTGCCGAGATCTATGCCGGCCCAGGTAGGCTACTCTTTTCCATAGCACAATTCAGTCCTTGGCAACACCTGCTTGGGGCGTTTTGGTTTCCTGGATGGCTATAATACTGCTTTACATATCAAACTTGACGACCATCTAACAATGTATAGCTTCACGGCCTCCATGGCCAACTCTAGGCACTGCACACCATATCCCGATTAACTCGGGGTCTGATGACACATTCAACTTCATTCGGCGCTGTATACAGGGCTGCATCGGAAATCCAAAACATAGAGCTTGCAAGTTGTCCTGCCCGTCCACTGTCTCGCCTCCTAAGCGTCTTCTTGACGTAGGCAAAAGTGCGTCGCCCGTTCGCCTCATCGACACGCACGGCAGACATTTCCAGTATGCAGCTCTCTCGCATTGCTGGGGAGCCCATCCGCCGCTCGTTGCTACAAAGTCAAACTGGGCGAAGCTGGCAGTCAACATCGCTTTCGATGTGTTCCCGCCGCTGTTTCAAGATGCAATCATCATTACGCGCCAGCTGGGCCTGCGGTACCTGTGGATCGACAGTCTTTGCATCATCCAAGACTCAGTCCGGGACTGGGAAACAGAGTCGTCGAAAATGGGCAGCATCTACCAGAACAGCTATGTCACCATTGCGACAACCCAGTCTGCAGACAGTAGCGCACGGTGTCTGGTCGAGAGACGGAAGCCTGTCAAGATCGTATACCAGAACACGAGTGGAAAGGAATTCACACTGAGAGCGAGGAAGATCTTGGATCATCACCCAAGCCATGCGCCAAACGGAGGCCCTGCGAAGCCAGTCGGTCCACTTACGTCTCGCGCATGGGCTCTGCAGGAACATGTTCTCAGCACAAGGATACTGCACTACACAGCTACGGAGCTGCTGTTCGAGTGCAAGACATCGTACCGCTGTGAACGCATGCCTGAGCGCAAATCGTATCCCACAACGCCATCTCTGATCCCAAAAGCCGTCGCCAGCAAGAAGACCGACGCCGTGTGGCAGGCATGGCAACGCATCATCGAGCACTACACCACGCGCCACCTGACGGTTGCCGCCGACAAGTTCCCTGCCATCTCGGGCATTGCTTGCAAGATCCGAAAAGCAACACATTCCGAATACCTCGCAGGGCTGTGGAAGTGCAACTTGGCTTCCGACTTGTTATGGCGTGTGACTCGGCCAGCGTCGCGCGGCGCAAACGACCTTGCACTAGACAAGTGGCGCGCGCCTTCGTTCTCCTGGGCGAGCTTAGATGCACCCGTTACATACACGCTGCTAGACGAGGAAGAGCGCGAAACATTCAAGTCCCTGATCACGATTGTCGCTTGCAAGATTACGCCCGTCGGACTCAACCCGCTGGGTGCGATATCAGACGGATCTGTGACTCTACGCGGCCCTACCATCGCTTGCACATTGTCCTCACATCAAGATCACGGGGAATGGGGCTATGATGTTGCGATCAAGGGCACAACCCCGATCCGCATGATGCACGACTGCTTGCTGGCTGAAGAAGAGGTTGACACTAGTCAGGGAGAAAAGCCACAGACGGTGCGGCGAGCGCGGGCCAGCGACACCATACGTCATTTTGAGACACCTGTACTATGTCTAAGCCTTGCGAGGTATGACAGCATTGTCGCCGGTCTGGTGCTGGGGGTCTCGGCTCGGAACCATGGTGCGTGGGAGCGACTGGGCACGTTTGCAGTAGGCACCGAAGCGGCACAGGAGAGCGAGGAGAAGGAAATCCTTCTTGTGTAGACTCTGAGGGATTGGCAAAGGGGGAGGCTTCAAAGTCTCTATTCTGGGAGTGTCGTTTGCTCGTTCGCAGGTACGTATGCGCTGACATCATGTGCTCTAGCGTTCCGAAGTCCGCCATGTCGCTCTGCTAGTAGGGCTGGCAGCGAGATGAGGATCGCCCGAGGAGAGTATTGCCAATAACAGAATGTAGTGGTGTTAGAGAGAGTTTATGTTGTCTATCTTTGGGTCGAGCAGTATATCTCGATGCTTGGAACATGGAATAGCATCTTTTTCGGGAAATGCGCCAGGGGTTGTGCTGTTGCTTATGTCTGTTGCTCCTGTCGGGTAATATTACCATGGACAGCTGGGGTTCATATGCATTCGTCAGATTCGCGACTTGAATAGCTATGCTGACTATGCATCGCGTACTACAACCGGTTTCCGCCTGTATACAGCTGACGTCAACCTGGTATTCGTGATACGCGTCGTGTCACTAGTGTCGGAAGGGCCTACATCGTGAACACCCTAGTCGTATACTTTATTTCGTCGGTACGGCAGGTCGACCCGTGCCGCGGGCATTAGATCCGATAACTGGCCGATAAATGACGTGGCGGTCTCGGAGACTGGGGAAGTGGTACTGATGGATTGTTTATGAAAGCTCGGCAGTGGAGATATGGGCACAAAGCTCGCACTGGGGAACTGACATGCTGGGGCATTCCAGTGATAACGTATCGTGAAACAATTACAGGGCCTGAGAAACCGGGCAAATTTGTTACAAGTCTTGTTAGATGCCAGGGCAAATCAGGCTAGGCTGCCACGGTCGGTAATGTCAAACTGAGAGCGGGTTGCAGATGCTTACACTACGCTTATGTGCAGGGCTCTGGGGTACACATAGACGCGGGCGGTAAGATATGTTTCCATTGCCCCCAAAGCTTGGCTGTGAGAAAGAGTAAGGAGGGTCGAGGCCTTCATCTTAGGCCGCGCAGAGATGGAGCGAGCACCGCCCTTGGTAATATGTCTGGTGTCAAAGAAAGCTTGTAGCCAGCAAACCGTCCTGTAATGACCCATGTCGTACATTAGCTCGCAGGCGCAGTCTGTGCCCGTTGGCTGCCACTGCCACGACCCTGCGGACTCGTCAGCCCATCTAGAATGCAGCATCGCCATTGCCTGGTCCCACCCGGTACAGAGTTCGTCCACTTTGCAGTCCTTGGCTCGTGCATCTAGATGCGGCTTGTACAGCCCGAACCCATGCGCGTCCCGCGTCGGGGGAGATGACTCGCAAGCGAATAGGAGGCCAGAAGACACCGGTGGAGCAATCTCTTCCCAATGGAGCTATGTTTAGCCCGGGGAAGCACGTCGCGGCTGTGGAGAGTTCGCATGAGCCACGGTAATTCGCCAGAGGGTGTATGAAGGAAGCATTGCCCAGCAAACTGGTAATTGGTAGCCAAGATAGTCGTCCGCTTCCGGGCAGCTAGGGGGGAGATATAGGGGCTGAGCGGGGGCCGCGAGCCTCGCGAGGCGTGTTTTTCCATCCATGATGACATGAGAAGCGAGGCGGAAAAGGGAGAAAAGGGAGCGTTGGCCGGAGCATGTGTCTGGCACGGCGGTGGTGAATGAGGCTCAGGCTAAGGCTCACGTCGGGTGCTGTGGCTCTTGTGTCCGAATGCGGCCTAGCGCGGCGATCCTCGGCTGGCGCTCTCTTGGGCGAAACGATTCGAAACACCCGCAGGCACGCTTATTCCACCACGGTCCGCGCCTTAACCTTTTTCACTGTTTGCAGCGCGTAAATGGGCCCAAAAACAGGCCCAGCTCCCTCCCGCACACCGTTGCTTCATGCATATCTCCGAGATGACTCGCCATTGGCGTTGTCCATGGGCGGCTGGCCTGAGGACTCCGGGGCCGATGGCTTGTTTCATAGGCCGCATGTTTATATAGGAGATTCGCCGCCCACGAGTGCGGTGCCGCCCAGTACGAGCAAGTCATTGTACGTTTGTTCGTCTTCTACGTTGCTTAGTAGTCTTGGACCTGTGTTCGCTGGTCGTTCGTTCTTTTCGTCGTTCGTTTTAAATTTACTCTCGCTGCACCATGTTGCACTTCGTTTTCCTTTCTCTGCTTACGAGCACCGCCCTTGGCCAGCTCTGCGAGAGCCGCTTGAAGACTCACCGTGGAAGCCTCGAGCTCTCTTCTGATTTCTGTCCCGTCAAGAATGACGACTCGACTGGCCTGTCCCAGCACCACCGCACGCCTTTCGCCGTCTCTCCAAATGGCCAGTTCGCATACCTTGCATACCTCGATGCATCGGGCAGTGGTGTCCATGTCCAGGCGGTTAACCCGCTGACCTTCACGCCCATAGGAAAGCCCGTGACAATGGCCCACGGAAAGGAGGCCGGTGGTCTCGTTGCCCACGATGATGGATTTGCCCTTCTTACTAACGAGCCCATGCCGTCCGGAACACCCAATGCACCCCCCAACAACACTGCTGTGGCTGTCCTGTACCGCTACACCCTTGGCAAGGAGACCTTCAAGACATTCCTCGGTGGCCCAAGTGACGATTCAGCCGGCGCTTCGTGTTCTCCACGCCTGAACGGTGATCTTGTTTATTCTGAAGATGCTGGCATGTACGGTGCTGCTTTTACCGCTGCTGGCTACGCTGGTGCTGCAAAGGGTCACTCTAGTGACAGTCTCCAATACGTCAATGAGAACGGCACTATCACGAAGACCGCAGGCGCTGCGGACTGCTCCCGCAACAGTGGCATTGCCCTCGAGGCTTCCGACTCAGTGCCATTTGCGAGTGTGTGCGCTGACAACAAAGGCACTCTATATCTGAACAACGGCGCTGGCATGAACAGCAGCCGTGTCAAGATCGGCGCTGCCACCGGGGCTATGGGAGGCGCATCAGGCTCCTACAGCCATCTTACGCGCTTCTTCGATACCGACTCGTACATCTTTACCTGGATGTCGCGAGGTGCGAAGGACTCATCCGCAAACCGCAACGTCGCTGTCGCTACCTCGCAAAAGGCCGGCAACATGCACGTCACCTGGATGACCGCCGGCAAAACTGACTGCCAAAACGCCCGCGTCGCTACTTTTGACAGCTCCAACGCCATTGTCTCCTGGGAGGAGATTGCCGAAGGCAAATTCACAGGCACTTACTTCCAGCAGATCAGAGACGGCAAGAAGATTGGCAAGCCGATCAAGTCCACGAACGTCTACGTTGCTGGAGACATGGTCAACATGGGCGATGGCCGCGTGTGCTGGCCCTACGTCAACATGGCGTGGAGCCTCGATGGCCTGGCCTCGAAATGCCCCCTCACCAAGGTCATGAGCTTCGCATGCATGACACTGGACCAAAACTCCGCCGGCTCGCCAACCGCTAAGCCTTCCGCCTCAGCTCCCCCCAACGTCTCCTACACCTCCTCGTTCCCTGTCGAAACCCCTGCTCTGTCGCCGTCGGCGCCACCAGCCTCTGACGTCCCATACCCATCCGGGTTTCCCGTAGGCACGCCTAGCATCCTGCCGTCTGCGCCCGCGGGCCAAAAACCCGGTGGCTACGGCCCTGGAAACGGGGATAAGTCTCCATCAGCAGCGCCCAAGCCCACTTTCGACCCTTTGGACGGCCCCCCGCGACCCTACGAGACCTTCGACCTCCCAGCCTCGCTGTCCTTCAACCCATCGTTGGCCCCTGCCTTTACAAACATCTTCCCCGGTCTTCCCGGCGAGTTCACCACGCCCCCAACATACCCAACTGCCACCACGCTGCCTCTCCCCGGCTGGACACGGCTCCCGTCGACGCTTCAAACAAGGACAAGCCCCAACTGCTCGAGCGCAACTCCCACTCCCACATCTAAGGGCTCTTATTACTAAAATGAAGTAAAACAAATTATTCCCTCAGCCAGACGATGACAAACGGACATTATATTTTTTTTGTTCTTCGCGTTGCTGGATCATCAACAATTGTAATTTCTCAATGTCTTTTTTCTTGTTGTTTGTATATCTCTTCAAATCTCTCTCTCTCTTGGTTTGTTGAGTCCTACATACACACACACATATATATATACAACACCATACTGTATTTTTTTTCTTGCCCTTCCTCCCTCACCCCCCTTTCCTCCTTGTCTAGGATACTTGCTAGCGTGTGGGGTGTGGGAAGTTTGTTATATAGCATGACAACAATGGGTCAATGTCTATTTCACAATTGCCATGACGTTACTGCCATTTTGTGGAATGTGTATTAAGCAGTATATTGAAGAAATGCTTGTATTGATTGTGTTTCTTTTTTCATGGATTATGTTGCATTGCAGTGTCTAATTTGATCTCATGTACTCAGTAAAAGTTGGTCTTGGCCACCTTTGTGAGTTCACGCTTGCCCACCCACCCCTTTTTTTGGTGTTCACTCGGGCTTGATAAAGGAGCTAAATGCAAGCCACGTCCAAGATATCCATGATCTCGACAATAACAAGAAAACAGCAGTTAAACGTAACATAACGGGTATTATACAAGCGCTCAAAAAGCCATACACACATACACATGACCACAGAACTCCCCCAACCTCGCTTCTCAGCATGCTCTAGCATCCTACATTCCAACACAGTAAAGAAGAAGAAAGAAAAACGCCATCTTATCGTACAAAACATACACGAAACAACCCTTCTTCCCCACCAAGTCCCCCAACAACTAAACATGATCATGCCGCCCCAGTTTCTTCCCCATCTTCCCCAACGCCTTGGCCTCGCCCTGTTTGATCTTTGCCAAGCGCGCTCTACACACTGCTATTAGCCCTGCACAGCAAGCTCAAAAAGGGGGGGAAGATATAGACGTAAAACTTACTCCTCGGCTGCCTCCCTCTCCAGCCGCTTAACATGTTCACGCGCCTCTCGCACCGCCGTCCGCGCAACGCTCAGCGCGCGATCTGCCTCGCGCTCTGCAGCCTCGGCATTCGCAAGACTCTGTTTAGCATTGATGATGCTCGGGTCTGCGGACGAGCGGTTGAAGAAGCCTGATGTGAGTTTGGGAGATGAGGAATTGGTAGTGGTGGTGGTGGTGCCGGAGCGCGATACAGAGCTGCTGTGACGATGATGCGAGGATGAGTGGTGGTTATTGGTGTGGGTGGGAGAATGAGAAGGGGAGGAGGAGGAGGAATGGCGTCGGGAGAAGAGGGAGGATTTTTGGGCTGGAGGCGGAGCTGGAGGCGGTGTTGGGTCGCGGCGGGATCCGAAGAGCGGCATTTTCCCTTCTTTCTTTCGTGAATATTTTTTCCTCTTGTCCTTGTGTGAGTGTGTTTTGACTTGCTGAGACGTCGTGTCGCGTGTACTCTAAAAGTCAAGACACGAGAATGCGATGAGATGGACCCTGAGAATTCCCCCCCTCCTCCCCAACGTCTTATATGCACTCCATTATAAACCCCCATGTACACCACCGTCATGGCTTCTCCCTCCTCCTTCTCCTCCTTCTCCTCCTTTCCGTTTCAACGCCGTTGTCCGAAGCTCAAAAGCAGGGTTCCGATAACATGGCTGCATATGACGTCTTTGGCTGCCCGAATCCAGCTGTGATCAGCGGGGCGGTGCAACATCAACAGGTAGAGCGCCGCATCGTCATCGGTTGCGTTTGCGAACCGCTCTCTATTCGAGTCTCAACCGAAAAAAAATGAAGATATGAAACATGAGGGCTGCGATATCAGATGGGAGACGACTAGCGTTGGTGTTGAGCGTGCATGTGGGTCAGGATTGCGCGTTCTGCCCCGGATACGGAGCCCAAGATGCTTGATATCCCAGCTTTGACGAGGGCTAGTGAGCTTGATTCAACTTCAAATACAGGGTCTTTGGGGTGTGCTGGTGCCGGTATATCCGTCGAAGCGAGACTGCTGCTACCCCGTGGGAGGGCCAAGAACGGCCCGGTCGAAGTACGGTTGTGGTTGTTGGAAATCATTCATATTTTCTGCAAAGATGATAGCAGCCGTCAGGTGATGCGCTCGCGCGCTTTGTGTATGCCATATATATCCGAGACGCCGCCCAAATGCACCGCTCTATGTTACTACAACCCAGTCTACCCACATTTTGCATGTTCACCATTATCCATCGCAAGCTTGCTCGTAGTTTTGAGAATGCTAATGATCATGACAGTGCATCCAAATGCTACAACAGCGCCAGCCACATATGTCATTGCACTTCTTTGCGACAGTTTCATGTAGCAGAGAGGTGGGAGAATGAACGCCAACGCGCAAGCAGATGTTGCGCCGAACAACTCAAAAACAACGCCAATGTCGCAGGTGAGAAGAGCCATGGTAAGGGCCGAAACAACAAGGGCAGTGGTGAAGATAATGTGGCGGTTGGGATTGTAGTGCTCGTCCGGGAACCAGTAGTTGTTCATGACTTCTCGGCAGACAAAGGCCTCCAGTGGAAGCGTGGTCAGCATGTTAAGGCCAAAAAACAGACGCGCAATGTTGACCATGAGGTTGTCGTTGGGGAAATTATTGAGCACATTGCCAAGCGTCTTGTCACCAAACGTCAGGTAGCCTGAAAGGGCCATGACGAGACATGCGATGAGCGATATGCCAGTGCTGTAGTGTGTAACGCGCGAGAAACGATCGATAGTGGGCTTACGCAGGGAGCCGTATATGAGAAGGCTGTTGTGATGGCAGACAAACGCAAATGCGATGACGCCTATGGATTCGAAGATGCCGGAGCGAATGACAATGGAGCCATGAAGTTGACCTTTCAACTCATCAGGCACTCGAAACGATTGCGTGACCACTGTGACAATGATGATGGTCATGCTAACTAGCGCAAAACCACTAGCTTTGGCAAGCTTCACGTCGTTAGTGTATGCACTATCTTGTCTAAAAATGCACTTACCTTTGAAATGTCCCGGTACAGCGACAGGGGGAAAGAGATGCCGAGAATGAGCAGAATCATGATCGCCCGCCTGTTGGTGAGTAGCCACAGGAATGACATGTCTGCTAGCGAAGGAAACAGGGAGTCCAGAACCCTTGGTATGGTGTCACCGATGATGACGCAAAACGCTACCATGCCGCCAAAGGCGCTGTATGCTGTCAATACATGTCTTTCCAAGTCTCGTAGAGACGACGTACAAGAGCCATTGCGCGAGCGATATGGCCACGAGCCCGGATTTGCCAAAGCAGTGTTGCACCGTTGCCTGGAACGAATCTGTCCCGCTGAGCTTCGAGTTGATGACAATGAGGCGAATCGTCCAGTCCACCACGATGGTAAGGCCGATGAGCAGGGCGGTCCCTGTAATGAGGCCGGCATTCCGAATGGCGTAAGGTTGGCCTATGATGCCCGCCCCGCTACGCTACGTCAGCCGTTGTTCGTGTGCATGCCCTTCGGTGTGCCTCACATGATGCTGTTGGCCATGTTCATAAAGGCGCTCCGCATTCCGCTGCGTGGCCGCGCGTTCTCGAGGTGGTCCTCCGGGTTGAAGTTCTGCTCGGCGACCGTGACGCTGGGCGCCTCGATGCCCGTGAGCAGAGGCAGCCGCTGTATTCTCTCGTGTCCGCCATCGTGCATGTAGTCGTCGCCGTCCAGCTCGACCCAGTCGGCCCCATTGCCGCCGTCGCCGTTCATGCTCCTCCTCGGCTCCTCGAAGCGGACGCGATTCGGAGTCCTGGGCGCGCCATCAGGGCGAGGCTGGGCAAACGACGACTGCCGCTTGATGTGGCCATTAGGACGCGAGCCCGGGGGTGCTGGAGAGGCGGATGTGGCTCGCGACGAGGCGGGCGAAGGCAACAGGTGCAAGGGACTTGGTTTGCGTTCGAGGTCGAGTTCGAGTTCCGAGTCGCTGTCTGACGGATGCTCATGCAGGAGCTTCTGGCTTTCGCTCATCGTGGCATTGTCGGCTTTTAGGGGATTGTTGCCTCGAGTGAACGTGGACCTGTCATGAGCGACTTCTGACATTGGCTTCCGGAACTTTGGACCCCTGCATGTGCACTAGGCCGCATTCGAGTTAGCGTGCGCCATCGGTATGAGGGAGCTGCATCCGTCTAGGCCAGACATCGCTAAAGCCCCTGTGCCTTTCCAGAAATCGGGTGAAAGCAGTATCCAGCGGGATGCCGGATTGCCGTCACAATGCATGAGCACTTCATCTCAGTTCACTATAGCGATATATTCGATTCTCCTCTCCCATGCCGCAACCATGCAACAGCCCGACATATACTACTTATTGCCCAGACCTGCTCCCCAGCTATTGTCCATTTTCGTATTTGTAACAATCCCAATGCTCTGCTGCCATGTCCACCCTATGTTCCGGGTCGCGGGTCTGTGCTTCAACTAGCGTATTATTATTATTATTGTTCCATTAGAGTCTAGTGAGCTCGAGGCTATGTAAGACTTTGGCCGAGGCCGTTCTAACTAGATTTATTTACAAATACGAGTTTGTGCTTGAAGTGTGTCTGTGGTGCTTCGGCCTTTGTCTAGGTAAGCGAT